AGCGTAAGAAAGGCCCCAAAGGTGTGAGAATATGGAGAGAGAAGTCACAGGAGTGAGAAAGGCAAGGTGAGAAGAACGGTAAACTGCAGTAAACTACCCAACATTTAGTTCAAACAGACTGAACTGTACCTGTTGGAGTTAGCAGTCAACTGATGTTCCAGAGGTTGGTAAACAGAACCCAGACTGTGATGGATTTAGGAATGAACTGAAGGGGAGAGAATGTCACAGAGGCTGCCTGAGAAATTCAAGAAAGACAACGCCAGCTCTAAGAGAGTCAGGTAAACACGACAGGATTTGTGTTTGAATGTTTAGATTCTTTCTGGAAATGAAGGAGACCGAAGCATGTTTGAATGGTGTGGTATGATAGCCAACAGGAAGAAAGAGGTTGAAGATTTAAAAGGAACAAATGATACAGCAAACTCACAGAGAGCATGGAAAGGAACAAACATAAGAATTAAAGTGGAGGAAGGAAAAGGAGAAAGAAAAACTCATCCTTTGACGTATGTGGTAAGAGAGAAAGGCTACAGAAAAACATATGAGATTTTTGCAAAACTGATAAGCAGAAGTCCCCACCACAGCCTCAAAATATATTATTCTCAATGTAAAGCAAGGTCATATGACAGGGGAGGAGTGTTTGTATGACAAGTGGGGAATGTTCTGGAATAGACATTGGGAGGAACAAGAAGAGAAACTGAATGAATATAAATACAAGGACCAGCAAGTAGGATCAAACTTAGAAGGTCCACATAACAAAAGACATGAATTCATAGTGACACCACTGCATGGCTGTGGGACTTTGCCCAGCTGTGATAGCACCTGAGATGACTGGCCTTTCTCAGAGAAAGTAAAACATACCCTAAGATTCTGACAGTGTGGAAGGTACTGGTAAGAAGGGAGTTCAAGAACTCAACCAGATCTCGTTGCACAGGAAGGGCTGAGTGAAAGGAAATGAAGTGGGTACACAGGAGGCATTTCAGAAGTAGAGCGATTCCAAGCGAAGGTCAGGCTCAGCCTGTGGTAACTGGATCAATACTTAAGAGAGTCTAAGAAGTAGGTGACTTGGAAGTAAGATGATTAGATGATTTCAAGAGAGGAAAACTGTGAACCAGATGCCAGTTTACCCATCAATGAAGGGACTGACCTAGAAGCCATTAAATACTAGGGGTAAAGAATATTACTAATATTAAGTCTGAAAGAAGAAGAAATTTTATATTAAGGATATAACAGTCTACTGAAGTAGCAATGAGGTATTAATATAAGGAACAAAATGAGGAAGAAGGGGGAGGGAAAAAGGAAAAGAAAAAAGAAGAGAGCTGCGGGCTGGACGGTGGTGCGGCAGTATCATGATGTTCTGTGAAGCGGACCCTGTGAGAAAGTTCCAGATTCGTGTCCGGTGGTCTCTTTGAATATGATGGGCATGCATATGCCCATCATCAGGGGATTGCTGAGGCTGGGGGTGGGCTCAGGCATCAAGACTCTGTTGGAGGTGTTGTGTGCCTCTCTCTTACTCTCAAAACAGGTAAATAAACTCAAAAAATAAAAACAAAAAGGAAAAGGGCAGATGAGGTAAGGTTATAGAGAAAGAGAAGAGGAAGAAAGAAAAAAGAAAAGACAAATATCAAGGGAAAACACTAAGAGAGTGAGAGAAAACAGCTTCTACTCGGAAGGGCTGAAAGGGAAGCAGTGGCTTTAGGAAAGTAGAAACCTCCAGTTTGGGAAATAAGACGGATTAAAGCCCTTACAGAAGGTGCACATGTCCCCGCTCCGCCAAAGTTAGACAGACAGACAGATACAAATATGAATACTCCAGAAGATACATATGAATACTGTTGTTTTACAGCTAAGGAAACTATACCTTGCCCAAAGTTATGCTGTCAATGAAGTGGTTAGGCTAGGGTTTGAACTCATGTCTATACATATCCATTATGGACACTCACTTTTTATCACATTTGTTCTATTTTATTAGATTCACTACATCACCTTTATTATTTTAGCCTACATAAACTATCCTTCCCAAAAGACTTAAAATTTTTACTATCATCCTTTGTTTACGTCATTAACTGTGAGTGAAATGCTTTCCCCTTAGCAAAATACCTAATTCAGGTCCCTGACTCTGAATAAATTGTTTGAAACTTATTATATCTCGTACCCTCTCAAACAGTCAAGTAACTGCATGACTTAACTGATTCAGGTTTTGTTTTTAAGACAGTGTGTACACATGCACGAGAGAGGAGGAGAAAGCACTCCGTCAACAGGGACTGTCACATCTTATTTCTTCCAGTTATTGATCCTGGCACATGCATATTTTTCAAGTCAACAGGGCCTGGACTCAGACCCCAGTCTACCTTGTGGGATCCAGCTTCCTTTGCATAGTCCTAAACCACTGTGCCATGAGGCTGGCACAGCTTACATCACTTTATCAGATACCACTTATATTCAACTGTGTTAAAGTGCATTTGTTACATCTTTCTATATCGTTTCTTCACTTTACCTTGGGTATACATCTTCCCAACTAGTTTATAGACAACTTGAGAACAGGAACCATTTCCAGTATTTACTTTTTACTCCTTCATTAAACTCAGGTAAACTCCATTATGCCAGGCACAGAGCAGGCGGACTGTGGTTTATTAATTACACATAAGTGTTCCCACACATTTAAAAAGCCTCTATTTCCATTATATATATATTATTTTCAAATTAGTATCTTAGTAATGATGTAACAAGTGGTTAAGTAACAAAGTATTAAACAAAACAAAGATTAGAACCAAAGAGCTATAGGATTGAAAAGCAGAGTCTATAAATAAAGAATGATACATATTGTCATTAAGTATAAGGAAGAATGTTACTAAAAAAAATTAGTCTTACATTCATATGTAAATACTTTTCTCTGTTAATAGACAATTTTAAGAATGAAACAATTACTAATTTGTTTTGTTTCATTCCATAATAAATCAGCTATAGTCTCTACTTCTTTGTTTTTTTGTTTATTTGTTTGTTTTTTAGATTCAGCCAGAAGGTTAGTGAGCTCACAGCAAAAGACAAAGAGAAAGAGAAAGTAAGAAAGTGCCCCTTACTGAGAATGGTTACACAACGATCCCTTCTCTGTCTCAGTCCTCATTTTAGGATCTTGGGCATGCACCCACACATGCCTGGTGTGTTTCTCAAACCCCAGGATCCAGGACTTAAACCACAAGGTTGGCCATGTGGGATCCAACTACCTTAACCACTACACCAAGGGCTGATCTTACTCTACCTTTCTTTAGGCGGCATCTTTTATGAATTTTTTTTTTTTTTCAGAATATCTAGGAACAAAGAGCCTAGGTTATTACAGTCACTAAGATATTTTCACTACATAACACAACATTCTAGATGGCTTTACATAACAAATGTTTTCTAGTTTAGCACAAATGTTTATAATATACACCATTTGACGGTGTGTACCTTTTATCTTGTGTCTAGTTCAGTAATGACATTTTATTTACTTGCTTGCTCAGTAATAAAAATGAACACAGAGGGACCAGCAGTTAGTGTAATGGCTATGTCACTGGACTCCCATGTAGTCGACTGTGGTTCAAGTCCCAGACCCGGTGGTTTAAAAACACGCAGGGCGCGTGTACGTGCGTGCCCAAGATCCCAATAGGAGAATAGAGGAGAAGGGATTGTGGTATAGCCATCCCCCCTGGGGGGGTGACTTCTTGCTTTCTGTCTCTCTGTCTCTCTCTGTCTTTCTGGCAAGCGCATGTGCCCTA